TAAAGCCGTGCCAGGGGACCTGCAATAACCTCGGCCAGCTCCTTTAGAACTCTAGGGTGGAGATCATCCGGACCGGCTGACTTGAATACGTCCAGCCCCTCTAGAAGCTCCCTTACTAAGTCCTCGCTAACCCTTGGCCCAGGTGTGCCTCCCCCAGGGCCCGAAGGGGGCCCGGCTGGGAGGTTGCTGTTCTGGTCCCTACTTAGGAAGACAGAGGCAAAGAAATCGTTAAACATGTTAGCTTTGTCATCTGGTGTGATGACCAAGTTTCCCAACGCATCCTGCAAGGGCCCCACATTATCTGGGAACTTCTTTTTACCCCCTATGTATTTAAAAAAAAGACTTCTTATTGTCTTTAATCTGGGAAGCTAGCCCCAGTTCCATCTCTGCCTTGGCCTTCCTAACTACCCCACTACATCCCCGAGAACTGCAGAATAGCCCTCCTTGGTGATGATGTTTTGGGTGATGATGATTTGATGATGAGTTTTGGGCTATGTCTCTATGCAGGAAATCTGAGATACACCTCAGGTTTCCTGGGGCATATCTCTGTAAGCAGAAAAACCTGGGGTTCCCTGCTTAGAAGTGAGCCCTGGGAAATCTCAGAGGTATATCTTTAAGTGGGGAGAGCCAGGGTTTCCCACTTACAGAGATGTGCCTCTCCTGTGGTATACTCTGTAAGCAGGGAAGTCATCCATTATTCCACAGAACTGGGCCCCTGCCCAATGCAGGACAACAGGCAATGCATTTTGCCCAGTGAAGCAGATCAGCTTCATTTGGTGACTGCTGTTTATACCCTAACCCCTCCCTCCTATTTTGTGACAAGAGAACTGGAAGATCAGTACAGTGTGTGCGCTCTTTCTGGATGGAATGAATAGTAAAGAAGCCAGAGGGTGGGCTGGTCTGCATGCAAGACAGGCAGTCACTGAAGATGTAAATTGAGGAGTCAGTGGGTGAGAGACAGGCTGGGGTAGGGGAGGAAAGGGAACGAATGTAGCTGGTAATTAGGGGAGAAGAACCTGGGGACTCAGATGTCAGGCAGGTTATACATGTCATAAATCCAGTGTCTATATTTAGTCCATGATTTTTTGTATCCAGGAGGTTGATAAAGTGAAGTTCATAGGCTTGTCTGTGAAAAGTGTTTTGTAAATTCCCTTAGAGTAAACCTGGGTCAGGTATGCATGGTATAAGAAAAGGATTGTAACAGACATTGATAGCGTGGTGAGTTGCCAGAACAGCATCTGGGAACAGAAGTGCCTAGTTTTCAGAGGAAAGGTGGGCCAGAAAGCATCGTAAGTTGCTGAGATTGCATTGAGTGTTCAGAAAGATCCACCAGGGGAAGATCTGGAAAACTGGGCCTCCTTGGTAGCCAACAGCAGTGTTTAAGAACCTGCTTGTTGTCAATGTGGATCTACTTTCTGCTTGTTCTACACATTTAAGTAGAATTAGACTAAGTTCTGGCAACTGCATCAGCAATCCCAAATGTTGAAGCATTCCTTGTGATAGCATGGTGACTTGTTTGTTTTTGTTTTCCTACCCAGATTCTACAAAGCAAATACCTAATTGGAGTGTTGATGCTTCTAACAGAATTGGCAATCTTCCAAATACAATGAAACCTTGTAATGTAGATATTTTTTAGCCATCTGCATGGATTCTTCCCTGAGACACCTACTGATGAAAACTGACTCTTCTTGTAGATTTTCTTACTTTCCTCCCATAATCAATTTATTGACCAAAGTGAACATTTTAACATGGTCATGCATTTTGAACTCTGTAACTCCTGGACTGACATCTTTAACTGGCAACATTCAAAGTCTGCAGGAAAACACTTTGCTGTAATAAGATCATTGTAAAAAAGTAGTATTTCAAAGTCATAGTATTTTGTAATGACCTCACTAAGTATCTTCTTGTATCATTCAGAACCTCCAGACCTGTGTCAAAGATGTAGGATGATGCTTTCATACCCTTTTAGAGACATGGACAGACATGCATCCCCTGGTGTCACTTACTATAGTTTTGTACATTCATGTAAGATGCATGGATCTTGCTGTACCTTGTTGCTGGGGGAAGGGATTGCAAACTGCTGCCCGAGAATGGATATGAACAGATGTCACCTAAACTAGTCCCCCTATTTTCAGGGTTAACTTGTTACCAGAATAACTATGATACCTACCCTGGTTTTGAGGTTTACAGCATGAGAGAGCTTCTTCTTTTTTAAGCTATAAACATGGTGGTAGTCTATGCTAGTTTAAATTACAATAAAAAGCTGTTACATTTTATGACACTGGTAAAACTGGCAACTGGATTTAGGCTTCTAATCTCTTCTCACATTGATTCATTTTTATCTTCAATTTCTAGGCTGCTTCTTTTTTGGTTAGATTAACCTTAGTTACTATTTGCGGAGGGCTGTATAAGTCAATAAAATGTGAATTTCCTCCATACTAGCTATACATAGAAAGAAAAAAACTTTGGTGAACAACACTTGGATATTAAGACTTGTACTTGCCTGGTGCTTATTATCAGAAAAGCTGCAAAACCTGCATCCATCCCTTCACTTAAGAATAGGTATACTACAGCACATAGGAAAATATGCCAACTTTCATTGCAGCTTTACTTTACTGTTGAATTTAAGAAAAGTCTTGTTTTCTGAATCTGTCAGCCACTATGGACAGGTACTCACAGGGCTCTGGAGACCCCAATCCTGTACATCCTGGGAATTCCCACGAAGGATCAGGCCCCTCAAATAGTGGGAGGGACTGCCAGGCTTTCCCTACTTAAAGACACACTCAAGATTATCAGGGCTATGTCTCTATGCAGGAAATCTGAGATACACCTCAGGTTCCCTGGGGCACATCTCTGTAAGCAGAAGAACCTGGGGTTCCCTGCTTAGAAGTGAGCCCTGGGAAATCCCAGAGGTGTATCTTTAAGTGGGGAGAGCCAGGGTTTCCCACTTACAGAGATGTGCCTCTCCTGTGGTGTACTCTGTAAGCAGGGAAGTCATCCATTATTCTACAGAACTGGGCCCCTGCCCAATACAGGACAACAGGCAATGCATTTTGCCCAGTGAAGCAGATCAGCTTCATTTGGTGACTGCTGTTTATACCCTAACCCCTTCCTCCTATTTTGTGACAAGAGCACTGAAAGATCAGTACAGTATACTTATGTATACAATAGATTCAATACTTCTAGACCCATTCTGCTTTCAAAAAATGGTATTTTGGCCACAAACACTAGACTAGTATGCAACTTGGTGTCTGTGTTAAAAGCTAAGCATAGGATACTAGACTAAAGTAAATACTTGGTTCTCTTCTCTTTCAAAAGCCTGTCTGCAAATCAGGATCAGGTTCTTCACAGATAACAGTACTTACAGCTGACTTTGGTCTGTTATATTACAAAAACTCTCTCTTCCTGCAGAAAAATAGTCTTATTTTGAATGACTCGCTTTTAGTTGAACCAGTGTATGGGTATATGATGGAAAAGCAGCAGTTATGTCAGTTTTACTCAGCTTTCTTAGTCTACTGTCTTCACTGGACCAGTGTTAGGTGCTTTACAAAGGTATCAGCCATCCTATGCACTTAACTGTAAAATACTAGACTCCATTTGGAAGAGGTACAGTTCTTCCCCATTCCAGTTCAGATCAGGTTATGACCTCCAGCTTCACTGTAGAAAATGTAACACAAAACTCAGTATTCTGATTTTACCAGAGAGAAATAGATTCTGTTCCTGTGTCAAATTCAGTGGGAGTGGAATCAAACTCTAACAACGAAACAAAAGTTCCTGCTGCTTTAGGCAGGACCAAGCTCTGAACCGCATGAAAGAATTTTATTAAGGTAACACTATTTATACAAGTTAATCATGCTAGAAAAAAGCATAAATGATGCATGTAAACAACTGTTTACAGAATACTTGTTTTTCCTTGTAAAGGTGCAAATGGTCTTCATATGTAAACACAAGAATGCCAACCTTTAGAGGAAAAGGAGCCTTGTTTTTGTCTTTTTCTTTTTTTTTAAAAAGTCTTAAGCCATTTAACTGGAGTGTTATTTTTTTTCTATATTCAAGCATGTTAAAATGCTGAGTTGCATGAGTGAAATTTAAGAACTGAGACGTTTGCACTGCCTTTGGAATCTCAAAGACAATGTCCCTCTTACCCTTTTAGATCTAATTAGTAGGTAATCCTTTAAGGCTCTGTTAGCTGGCAGAATGCCTCAGCTGGTTCTGCACTAAAACCATACCCCATTACTCACACCATGACCACCTCCTTAAAAAATTTAGTACATAGGCCTCATATCTTTTCCAGCTTCAATGCCAACTAAGGGAAGTGCATTAAAAACCTTTGCTGAGGAGGGGTACTATTTGATCTCATCTTAGTGTTCCACAGTAAGAAGTATAAAGAACTGGAAGAGAGACAGGTAAACAGATAGCATTTTGAACACAACAGTTTGCAGCAAGAACTACTGCAAGTCTGCAACTGTAGCAAATGTCAGGGGATTCCAACTGTACCTTTCTGGACCCCATTTACCAGCTTTAGACCAGAGCCTGATTCTAATAATGTGGTAAAATGTTTTGGAAGCTAGCAATAATTAGTGTTCATTAAATTCATATACAGGGGAGATGCCAGACACTTAATCTTTATGCCATTAAGAAAAAGAAAGGTGCCTTTTGAATCTAGCTTCTCCCCTCCCCCGTTTTTGCTGCCCTTATGGGCTTCAATAATTCAGCAAAGAGATGGGAATTCCAGTCCTGTTTCTCAGCTCCACAAAGACTAAAAAAAAGACGCTCAAGGGCACCAATCTTCCCAGTTCTTGTGCTTTAGTGGGTGTGACTTGGAATTGCAGTATCTAGAAGTATCAGAGGATGCAGCTTTGACCCAACCATTAGCCTCAAATCACATACATAAAAAAAGAAGGGGAATCTTTTTTTGTTGCGAGCGAGAAAAAATGCATGAATACATACAAACTGAAAAAATAAATACTCTGCACACAGAAAAGCTTCTGTGCAAAGGTGGCACCTTGCAGATCAAGTACTTTTTTGAAGCTCTCCATAAATAAGGCAAAAGCAAGATTTTCGGTCTCACTTTCTTTCTCCACCCACTACACAGAGGCCATTTCCACTGTTCAACAAAGCAGGGTTTCTTCCTTTTTGCCAGACTTCCAGCACAGCTTGTAGTTCCAGATCACTGCTTATGCTAGAATAACTTTGAAAGTTTGTATTATTCAAAAATGTAGAGACTATTTAGAAAAAAATATGAACATAAGCAACACTTGTGTTCGAGTCAGGTGGTTCCCTGGAGTCTGACAATATGATCTCCCACTGGGTACACTCTCACAAGAAGTCATTTTATAATTCTACAGAAAAGAGGCACCAGCAAGGAATTCAGTTGAATCTATATTTTCCTAGAGCTCTAGAGAGCTGCAGCGTCAGCCAGTCTCTTCAGTTCATTTAGGAATCAGGACCAAAGTATTTCCCTCCTATTAGATGCTTACCATATATGGGATTCGCAATGTGTCATTTTGATAACGCCTACGCCACCTCCCAGCCGACGGTAGTTCATTCCACCATACAGCCTGCAAAGGAAAGACTGCTGGTCATACAGCTTTGCTTAATGCACTTTCTGGTAAAAAGTATAACAGCCTCTCTGGGCAGCCGTATAAAGTCAGCATAACTGCTGTTCTCTGTTTAATACAATTCTGGAAAAGAAGCCAACTGATGAATAAGGCAGGGGTCCCCTTACTTTCCTCTAAAGTCAGTCTTAACTGCTCATACATTTGCTCCCTTCACACAAACAGATTCTTGATTTCAGGTTTTTAACTACAGAAAATTGCACTCAAATCTCACCTGTCCTCCCTGTGTAGTTTTGAGAGGAAGGCTGTGACTGGGTTGCATTTTGTCCCTGGCTGTTCTGGGTAACCTTGGCACAGGGGTGGAATTTTTACTTGGCACACAGCTAATTTCAAACATGTTTGCTTTCTCTTACACTCCGTGGGTCAGACCAAGATATAATGCAACTCAAATGCCTTTGGTTCCTATAAGCTACAATACTGAAATGATGCCCACAGTTCACATGGAAATCAGATCCTTGTGAGCTCTTGTTCCTTATTTCATCTGCATGTTGTTCCTTTTTGTACTGATTCCCATGTAGTCTGCTGGTAGAAATAAGAGAGGAGTTCTTTAATTGACTCCCAAAAATGCCACACATTAATCCCAGACTAAGTATTTAGGATTTTGCAGTACTGCTTTCTAGATAAGAAGCTTCATGGAGCAAGGAGTCCAGTACCCACTGAGAAGGAAGATTGGACTTGTCCCTCACATTTAATGACTTCATTGTTGGTAACACACAAGTCAGAATTGACAACAACTCTACCCATATTCCAAAAAATCACTGGCTTGGTTTTTGGCTCCCATGGGTGCTAAGGTAACATATCCAGTGTGAGTGGCTGTGACCAGCTAAAAGATGAAGCACAATACTAATAATTTCTGTACAAGGCTGGCTTTCCTTCCTGTATGGAAGGCTTTGTCACACAAGATTAATAAACCAGGGGAAGCTACTCCTTTGCACAAGGAAACTCAAAGTGAAAGGGTTAATATATTGGTGCTGCTAAGCTTGCACGAACAAGGACAAATTTCTTCCATTTCTCTTCACCCCAGAGGTTACTAAAGCAGGTGATATTTTAGAGAATATAAAATGGGAGTTCAAACCTCTAGGCTGATTCAATTTTGGAATAAATACACAAGAAGTTGCTGCAGTGCAATTATGACCAGAAGAGTATCATAAAATAAGCATTAAGCATAGACGCTATTTTTCCCATCAGTGATTTCATATCAGGTGTGCTCAGTTTAAGTCAAAATGAAATTTGTTTGAACACCTAGTCCTGCAGAATTAAACAGCAGAACATCTTGGATTCAAACTGCTCTGTTTCACGCAATACCCCCAACCCCTTTGGGCAAGATTCAGGAATCAGATCATAGCACTCTGAAGCCTAGAGAGCCACAAATGAACAGATGGATTCTGTTCTGTATCTTAAAGCTACCACAACTGAGGACAAATTTATTTTTGTTGAGAAATTAAGCAGACACGGCTCAAAATATCCACACGGATCACATATCTTCCAATGTGGCCCATTTTTGTAAGTTAAAGCAGAGCACTTGGAATTAGATCTTGTACTAAACTTGCCACCTGTTCATCATGGAACTTTCAAGGTTACTTGCCCCTCCCCCTTCTCCTTCCCCCTCCAGCCAGCCTCTGTTTCTTTAGCTGTATAATGGGAGAGTTATACTTCTCTACTGCTAAGGAGAGTTTAATTCATTAAACGTTTGCAAAGATCTTTGGGATCCTCAGATGGAAGGTACAGTGGTAGGATTCTTTCCCTGACAGTCAAAACTGAGATGACATCAGGGACTTCAAGAGCAGCCACTGCCATTTTAAAAAAGAACAGCTATAGGCCCCCTCAAGGAGCTATTTTTGGCATGGCTGTTATTCCTTTGATCAGAGGTGTTGAGGGATAATAGGCAAGAAGTATTCTAGAACAAAATGGCACTAAAACCCATCCATTCATATATGGATTATTTTGATGGAAGGAGGACCTACCTGTTCTTTTGCAAATGGCTCTACAGAAAGACATCACCACTACAGTGATACAGTCTTGCTAGGGTGCACTGTGAGCAGTAAGCATTCCAGTTCTACAGGAACTTTTCAGTCCCGAACAATAACCCAAAAGCACGTGATGCACAAGGAAGGAAGAGAAACACAGTTTCTCCATCTCTCGGTCCTTGTGAGAGAAAGCGATCCTCTCACGTGAGGAAGGGGAGTGAGCTTGTTATGGTACATAATGGATACAACTAGTTTCTCCACATGCTGGTTCCCCCATCAAATAAGAGTCAGCCAAACAAGTTACAAGGGTTAACACTGGCTACCTCCAACCATGCTGTCACACCACAGCATGTCTCTCCTCTGCTGGGAAGATTCTGGTCACAGGCCTACTTCAAGCAGATGTGCTTAAGTTTGCAGTTCGAATACTTCACAGACTTAAAGGTTACCTCCATGTGTTAGCATCAGGATCAAACACTTCAATGGTCTTCAAGTATGTTGTGCCATCAAAACCTCCCACTGCCATTAGCTGTCCATTCACTACTGCAAGGCCAACCTAAAGAACAACCACCAGAGACGTTACTCATTCAGCTTGAATGTTTCACTGTGGGACTTGAAGGCGCATGTCACAAGTGAAACACTTTATTCAAGGGACATTCAGTCACTCAGCAGGGTTAAGGTTAAGAGGTTAATGCACAGTATATGCTTACTTGGGGTCAACAGCAGTAGAGAACAAATAATTATATCTTAGTATTTCTTTTGAAATAGGTTCATGAGAGCTAATAAAAAGTTGTGCTAAACTGCAACATATTACAGATTCCCACAGAACCATGTGGTTGAGGCCTGGGGGACAGAAAGGAAGGTAAAAGGAAAAGGAAAAAATGAACACAGCTTTCCACTGTGTCAAAGACGACAAAAATCAGCTACTGCTTTGTGGATTGATGGGGTGTTGTGCTCTCATTCTGAGCACACTGGTTTGACAAGTGACTTCACTGTTCCCACTCCCAAGACTGATGTGGCTCAGCAGATAGCACAAATACTACACTCGAAATTCACACTGGAGACTAGGGGGCACGTAAGTGCAAAATAAGCAAATCCCTCATCAGTCTCCTGCCAACCAAACTGAGCTGTATTGAATAATCCTAGAGAGAACAGAAGGCTTCTCCTACCCCAGGCTGAAGAAAGAGTGCCCCTTGACTTGTTCCAACTTTAAACAGTTTTGTTAGACATGCCATCATCAAAACCAGAATTTTTATCAAAGGTTTTGGAAGTCCAGGGTAGAATTTCTGGTAAAAAACAGAGGGGTATTCCTTCCTGAGCAGCCAATAGTTCAAGGACAAGACATTTGCTTGGAATGTGGGAAAGCCAGATGCAAGTCCCTGATCCAAGTGATTCAGATCAAGGAGGGCAATGCCCCAGACCACCAAGCTCTCTGCTTTCCAGAGAACATTTTTTGTAACCTGGAAAATTTCTGCATGGTAGGAACACCATTTCTTGACTGAAGAGCAAAGAGAAAGCAAGTGAAACAGGGAAAGAGCAAGAAGAACATCTGAAAAGGTTTTCATTTGGGCCTTGGAGAAGTGAGGGAGAACTCATTCTGTCTTAGACATACCTCTACTTTTCAAATTTTGTGCTAAGCATGCAGAAGGAGCTTATGATTATAAGAACTAAGCCGGCAATTTAGGGGCAAACAACTGTGTAGACAGAATCAAATGCTGTGCTATGTGCTTGAAAGGAGACAAAGAAATAGATAATCAGCCCCTGCCTCAGAGTTTTCAACCTAAATATCAAAGTTATGTTCAGTGCTTTGCCACACATGCTTTAACACAGAATTCATCTGCCTTTTATTATATAGTAGTTATATTTCACAGCTACCAAAACATACTAATGTCCTGGTCATATGTTGGCAGCAAGCAAGAGAATTAAAAATTGTAAGAACACACTGATAACTCCCTGGACTTGCAAGTTACCAGAGACAGACAGCATCTTGTGTGAGAGTTTGAAGAACCCTGGTACCACACACCATCCCACATTCTTAACTTGCAGCTTATACCTTACCAAAAAACTGGCTGCCCAGTTTGCCCAAGTTCTCTCTCTTCTATGAGGAAGTTCCCAATAAGCAGTTATAATTCATTGCTAATGGGTCTAGATGAGACTTACTCTGCAGTAGCTAGTTATTACAGCACAGTAACTCATTACTAGTGCACTGCTGCACAGTAAGCATCACCAGGAAACTGTGCCGGGATACTACTGGTTATGCAAGTACTAAATGACTGTGCAGTAAACAACTGCACAGTAGGCATCTTGTGTAGATGCGCCCAGGGTCTTCAAAATGCATGACAAAATTGAACTTGTGTATACAAGGATGTATTGTTTCCTCTAATGACTTCCATTTTGGGGGGCAGAGAAGTTTACGGCTGCTTACTGCAATTGAAAAGTCCAGAACTCTCCCGCTTCAGATTTAAGTAATCATGACTCGGCAGTAGTGGTCAACACTTAGGGGGAAAAAAGGCAGTCTAGGAACAGTTGGATTTTCACTGTCTGGCTGTGCTGAAACATTGTTATTCACTCACCACTTGTAGCATAAGAGGATTATGAACTTGTTCTCTCTTCTGGATAACAAGCTTTGCCTTTTAAAAATATTTCCCTCTCAGAAGGTGGGGAACTGGGTAGAATTAGGTGCCAGAAAGCAAAAGCAACAAGAGAAGAGCAGAACCCTTATAATCCTCACTGTGCTCCAAGTAAGTAGCTAAGTACCACGTAGGCAAGTGTATCAACCAGCACTCACTCCACTCCGACGTGAAGTCATAGCCACCACAGGAGACCACTGATTGGTTCTGGGATTGTATCTCTCAGCACTACTGAGCTCCGTGGTGTCGTCTCGACCTCCAACAGCATAGATCATGTCCTGGTACACTGCACAGCCCAGGTGCTTCCTCCTGGTTCCCATAGGCGATATCGTGTGCCAGCGATTCTCCTGGGGATTGTAGCGCTCCACTGTGGAGAAAAGTAATTTTACAAATCTTTGGACGCTGGTGTCTCATTTCCTTCTGTTACTACCTTTGGGCTTGTATCCATACTATTGGTGAGACTAAAGACATAGATAGCTCTTCACTCCCAACATTAGAAGCACATGCTGTTCAGGTTGTCACCATCTACTCTACTGCCTTCCTTCTACAGAAGACTTGCTATTCTTTCTCCTGTCCCCCAATCCCAATTTAGCAGAGGCAGGGAATACAACTGCTCAGTCATTTAATACACCTTACCCAAAGAATGACCTTCAACTACAACTGGCCATGTTGTGACAGATGGATCTCTAGTACCCCATTTTTCAAGCCAATAAAGTCCTACTGCAGAAGCAATGCAGTGACTCTTTGCAGGCAAGTGCTAGAAAATGCACAAAGTAACAGCCTTAGGATAAACTGCCCACTGCCACTTCTTAGTAAGATGTAAGGAAATATACAACCAGTCACAAATACATTCTTACATATAGCAAAACCATATTCAGAGGAAGATGCTCAGTGAACAGATCAGAAATATTCACCAGCTGTCTGGGAAAGGCTTAGGGGTAAATAAACAGGATCACTGCAGAAAGCAGCTACAGTGAAGTGCAGACATACCTGTGTTGAGAGGGGATGTCCCATCAGAGCCTCCCACTGCATAAAGAAAGCCCCCTAACACAGCTACTGCCACTCCCAGGCGCCTGGTACTCATGGAAGCTACGCGAGTCCATTTATTTTCTTTTGGATCATACCTGCCATAGAAACCACATACAAAGATCAGTTCAATTTTCAGCTACCCATGCATAGCCCTTTTCTTGAATGAGTGGCCTCAGGTGAGTAGAGGATTCTGTGGGACTAGAGTACGATAGTTCAATATGAAGGCAGGGTATTCCTAACATGTCTTTCTTCTGATACTGAGAGTGGTTTGGTCCATTCATGCCACAGCAGCATGTCAGGTGAACCAAAGAACACCCATGTTATGTAAGAAAAGACAAATGCTGAGTAGGTTTCAAACTTGCCTGTATCACCAGCACCCTGATAGAAGGAGACCCACTCCTTTCCCCCCCCCAACACCCCTCATTTTTAATACCTTTCCACAATGTTGAGACAAGAGACACCATCCTGGCCACCCCATGAATATAGTTAGGTAGGTGGTGTGATTAGCAGAGAGAGGCAGGGCTTGAAATTCCCTAGAAAACCTTATTCAATGTTGGCTGTCATATTCTTTCTCCCTGTAAAGATTATCAGACTTTGGGTCAATTGCTCCAATCAAGGCTTAAATGACA